AAATTTACTTGTAAGAAATTTAGATATAGGAAATATAAAATACATATAATACTCATTGATTTCATTGTTTTCCATTTTGATCCTTACTCCTTTTTTCTACTTACTTTTGAGTTTAATTTACTTTTTTCTAACTTTTTAAGGTGGAAGCACCTGAGGTCATAAATTTGAGATCTTTCTTGTGCAACACAAATAAGCAGTGTGTGCTTATTATGTGCGTATATATCCACTATCTGTAAATGCATATATGAAGTTTCCACAATATGTAAATGCATATATGAAGTTTCTCATATATGGGATATAATGTATTATGTGTAATATATATTAAACATATTATGAAGTTTAACTTGTGTTGAATAAGAAGAAAGGTCTAAATCAATGGTCTCAGCTACTTGCACTTTGAGAATGTAGAAATGAAGACAAATCCATATAGTAGTAGAAGAAAAGAAATAACAAAAAACAAAATGGAGAACAATATAATCTGTAAAAACAGAAAAACAATTGAGAAGATCAGTGAAATCAAAAGCTGTTTCATTAATATCGATAAAATGGATAAACTTCTAGGTGGAACAGGTTATCAATATCAAAAATAAGAATGATGTATCACTGAAATTCTATAGATATTATGAAGGAAGTGAAGGAATACTATACCTGTAAGTTATCAATTTGACGATTTTGATGAAATGAACAGTTTACTCCAAATAAACAGCTACTACTGCTTACTCCAAAACAAATAGATAACCTTTCCACAAAGGTCTCCAGATGCTTCAGTAGTGAATTCCAGCAAACAATTAATAGTACCAATTCTATACAGACTTCTCCAGAAAATTCAAGAAGAGGGAATACTTCCTAAATCATTCTTTGAGTCCAGCATTGCCCTAATAACAAAACCAGACAGAGACATTGCAAGGAAAGAAAGCTGTAGACCTGTGTCCTTCATGAACATAAATTCAAAAACTCTAGGGATTGGAAACCAGTGGTATATAACAAGGTTATTAATACCTCATGACCAAGTGTGGTTAATCCCTGGCAGGCTTTTTCATCATTTGAAAAGCAGTCAGTATAATTCCCTGTGTCTAAGCCAACTTCATGGTTAGGTAACTTGTGCAGTCACATGTTGCTGCACTCTTGTAAGAAGGGATCCTGTACTTCGCTTAGTGCCCTGCTGTTGCCATCTTGAAGTTCTTCACAGTTTTATTTTTGAACTTGTGATTTGTATGTGAAGTTTGATGGACACTGGACTATGTGTGCAAGTAGACAGGATACTTGAGAGGCAGTGCCCTACTAAGCTGTTGGTCTGTGTAGTATGGCCTGGGAGTGTCCTGGAATTGTGTGCAGGTGGCCAAAGCAATGACCTTTGTCTGCACTGGTTGTAGCAGCAGCAAACTCACAAACAGTTGCACCCCAAAGAGGACCCACAGTGTGAGGCCGGCTTGCTTGTCTCTCCCCTAAGTCTGTCCCTCTGACATTCTTAGGAAATACTAATTTTCTGGGCTGAGTACTGGGACAGTAACCTCCAGCTTTGAGGCAGTCATCATTGTCAGTAAAGTATTAGAAAATAAAAGCATACTTGTGGACATTGTGTTAAGGGACACTAGGCAGTTACTAGAATTCTTTGGAGTGCAGATTCTCTGGTCTTAAGAACTGCTGCAACATTGCAAAGCAAATATCCACGGGCTTAGAAATAGGAATTTCATTTGATGGGAGAGAACATTATTTTTGTATGAAATTTTGGTTGAAACAAATCAGTTTTAAAAATAGGCTTTTTTTGCATTTGAAAATACAGCAATACACTGCATAAACAGGTGTTTCCAATTATATGCAAATCATGAAGCCATTTTTGGTTTCTTATACAAGATGTAGGAAATGTCAGAGGAAACATTAAAATGCCATTGTATAAATTTACATGTAAAATTGAATTCAGTTTTGTACAAAACTAATGTTCATGAAGAATTTCAGAGAGCTGCTACTCCAGTCTTTGTCTATATTTACCAAAACTTGTATTTTTTTAACTTTTATTGTATAATAATGTATCAGAAATCAGAAATTTAGCCCATATTGCCACAACGTATAAAGAACCAACAGGTCCCTAATGATTGCATCAGCTGAAAAAATCAACCTTCTCAAATAAAAAATAGCAAAAATTACTTATCTTGCATTTGCCAAGAATATATATTACTTTCAATTACATATTGAAAATGAAGTTGCTAAAAATATAAATTTTGATGACTTAATAAATGAATTTGCAAAAAGAGTGCCAGAAAATCTAATGATCAGTCAAGATATATTAACAAACTATTAGTAATTGTTGTATTATTTAAAGTTATTACAACAAAACTTTTTTGTGATTGTAAATTTATGTTGTTTTGTATTACTATTATACCTGTATTTTACAAGTAATAAAATATATTAAAAGAAAAAAACATAATTTATTTTACTTTTTACTATACTTCTTTTTATACATTCTGAGTAACCTCACATTTTTATTTTCCACTGGCCCCATCAATTATGTAGTCATCTCTGCCCTGTATTAAAAAGAAAAATATAGGAAAAAAGTCAAACCCATATGACCATTTCAGTATAAGCGGAGAAAACATTTGACAAAATTTAGCATCCATTTCTAATTAAAACTCTCAAATGAAGAATAGAAGATAACTTTCTTTAATCTGATAAAAGTCATCTATAGAAAATGTACAATTGACATTGTATATAATTGTGAAAAACGGTATGATTTCTTTTCAATATCAGGAACATGACAAGGATGTCCACTCATACTTGATAGTGTAATATATACTACCTAGTATAACCAAGGAAGAAAAAGAAAGGAGACTAGAGTGGAAAAGAAATAGAAATGTCTTTATTCACAAAAGATATGATTATCTATGTAGGAAATCTAATGGAGTCTCCCAAGATATGGGAAAAAGAATGACGAATTATTAAGTGTAGCTAGGTGGCAGGAGAAAAATATGTAAAAATGAATTTTACTTATATATATTAGCAATGATCAATTGGAAATTGAAACTTTTGAAAGTTCTATTTGCAATAGTATCTAAAATATTTTTTTGAATAGCTATGTCTGGCAAAAGATATGAAAGGCCACACTGGAAACAATCCACTGCAGAGAGAAATTGAAGACCTAAACAAGTGGAACTCCCTGCTTATGTCAGAAAGCTCAATATTGCTGACATGTTTTGTTGTTAAAATGATTTATAGATTTAAAATAATATTTGGCAGGATTTCTTGTAGTAATTGAGTACATAATTCTAAGCCTTATGTGGAAATACACGGGAACCAGAATAACTAAAACTTCGAAAAATAAAAGCTGACTTATATGGATAGTATTACCTGATTTCAAGACTCATTATCAAAGTAAAAGTTTGCTGAGACTTGGTATTTTTGTCCAGAGTACTTTTTCTTCAATTTCAACATCTAGTAGTGTTATTAAGATATGTTTTAGAGAAAACTGTTGCTGAACAGGTTCATGATGGTTCCTTTGAATATGTGGATCAGGTCTTTTATTTTTGGACAGTTTTCTTAGATTATACTTTTTAATATTAGATTTATTCCATTGTTTTCTTTTTTCTTCTTTAAGGACTGTAATATATATACTATATTATAATTTTATTTATTTAATTGTAGACCAACTTTATCCAGAACTTTCTGATCCCATTTTCTTTTTTCTTACTCTTTTAAAATTATTGCTGCTTCTCTTTTTTCTTGTTTCATTCTCCTTTACAATGCTGTTTATTCAAGTTTCAGTCAAATGTAGTTTCCCCTTTGGCTCTGTTTTAGTTTACTCAGGCTGCTGTAACAAAATGCAACAGACTGGGTAGCTTAAATAAATTTTCTCACAGTTGTGGAGGCTAGAAGTCTAAAGTCAAGGTGCCAGCAGAGTTGGTTTCTGGTGAGGTCTCACTCCTTGGCTTGCAAATGGCATTTTCTTCTGGTGCCCTCACACAGCCTTTTCTCTGTGCATGTGACCAGTGGTTGGGGGTGGCGAGTGGGGGGATAAAGAGAGCTCATGTGTGTGCTTTCCAGTTTCCCCCTCTTCTTATAAGGACACCAATGCCGTTGTATTAGTTTCTTACCCTTATGCCCTCATTTAACCTTAGTTAATCTCCTTAAAGTCCCCATCTTCAAATACAGTCACACTGGAGGTTGGGGTTTTAACCTATACATTTTTTGAGGGGCACAGTTTAGTCCATCACAGATTCCTTAATTAGGAATGTCTTTAATAAGTCTTTAATAAGACTGTAATTCGTCTTATTTTCTGTGATTACTCTGTCCTCTTTACAAATTCATTCCTGAGTTTGATTACCCTTTGCCTCTTTAGTTTGCATACAATCCAAGTCTCTTCTCTTGGATTTCCCAATAGCCTGAGCTTTAATCTGCGTGAACTCAGACATCTTCTGAGTATTTTCCCACTCATAGTGAAACTTTCCCTTTCTGGGAGTAGTTTTGTGTTTCATCCTCTTTGGGCTGTCTGTCTCCTCTATTCCATGTGATCACCACAGTCTCTGGCTGATTCTCTTTGTAGGTATGGGCTGTCACTTTTTGCTATATTTGAATATCTGTTCCTTAGTGATATTTGAAATTAGTAATATTCTCCATCTCCTAGTTATGCTAAAGTCATGGGTTGTTATAGATAATATTATTTGCTCCACTTATGCTGATGTTTATAGTTCTTGGGGGGATGCATGGAGAAATGCAGATGTAACTAGTTGCTATTATTCTTCTTACATTAGAAACTAGATGTGTACATTCAAATAGTTAAATTCCCCTCTGTTTTTCCACTAGCCTAGGCCCTTTGTTTCTGGTTTTTGTTTTTGTTTTTTCACCCCAAACCCATGACATACAAAAAATATGCACTTGCAGTTATGTTCATCTCTGGAAATTGGCCAAAAAACCAGGTCAGCTACAACATAGGGCATTTGTATAAAGATTTCATTCCCTAAGAAATGTTTCGGTATTTATATGGTAAGATTAATTTTGCTTGTTTCTAGAAGTCTGGACAGCTGATCACCTGAAAGAGAGGAGCCAAGAAAACCAATCTAAACATTTGTGGAAAGTTGTATTCATCAATAATGAAATGCTGACTAAGGAACAAGGTAATGTAATAGGAATACCATTTAACGTGGACATAAGCTCTTTTCCTTCCAGAAAAATGTTCTGTCAGTGTGACTCATGTGGAATGAGTTTCAACACTGTTTCACAATTGGTTATCAGTAAGATGAACTATTTAGGAAAAAAGTCTGATGAATTTAATGCCTTTGGGAAGTTGGTACTCAATACTAAGCATGATGAAACTTATACTCGAGAGAAAAATGAAGTTTTGAAAAATAGGAACACTCTGAGTCATCATGAGAACACTTTGCAGCATGAGAAGATTCAAACTTTAGAGCACAATTTTGAATACAGTATATGTCAGGAAACCCTCCTTGAAAAGGCAGTATTCAATACACGGAAGAGAGAGAATGCAGAAGAGAATAACTGTGAATATAATGAATTTGGGAGAACTTCCTGTGATGGTTCATCCCTCTTGTTCCATCAGATACCTCCATCAAAGGACAATCACTATGAATTTAGTGATTGTAAGAAGTTCTTATGTGTGAAGTCCACCCTTTGTAAACATCATGGGTTACCTATGAAACACTATGATTGTGGTGAAAGTGGGAATAATTTCAGGAGGAAATTGTGTCTGTCACAGCTTCAGAAAGGTGATAAAGGAGAGAAACACTTTGAGTGTAGTGAATGTGGGAAAGCTTTCTGGGAGAAGTCACATCTCACTCGACATCAGAGGGTGCACACAGGAGAGAAACGTTTTCAATGTAATGAATGTGGAAAAATGTTCTGGGAGAAGTCAAACCTCACTAAACATCAGAGATCACACACAGGGGAGAAACCTTTTGAATGCAATGAATGTGGGAAAGCCTTTAGCCATAAGTCAGCTCTCACATTACACCAGAGAACACATACAGGGGAGAAACCCTATCAGTGTAACGCGTGTGGGAAAACTTTTTACCAGAAATCTGATCTCACTAAACATCAGAGAACACACACAGGGCTGAAACCCTATGAATGTTATGAATGTGGAAAATCCTTCTGTATGAATTCGCACCTTACAGTACACCAGAGAACTCATACAGGTGAGAAACCTTTTGAATGTCTTGAGTGTGGGAAATCCTTTTGTCAAAAGTCACATCTTACACAGCATCAGAGAACTCACATAGGAGATAAACCTTATGAATGTAATGCATGTGGGAAAACTTTCTACCACAAGTCATTGCTCACCAGGCATCAGATAATTCATACAGGATTGAAACCTTATGAATGTTATGAATGTGGGAAAACCTTCTGCTTGAAGTCAGACCTAACAGTACATCAGAGAACGCACACAGGTGAGAAACCCTTTGCATGTCCTGAATGTGGGAAATTCTTTAGCCATAAGTCAACCCTCTCTCAACATTATAGAACACACACAGGGGAGAAACCCTACGAATGTCATGAATGTGGAAAAATCTTTTACAATAAATCATACCTAACTAAACATAATAGAACACATACAGGGGAGAAACCCTATGAATGTAATGAATGTGGGAAAACCTTCTGCCAGAAGTCACAACTCACTCAGCATCAGAGAATTCACATAGGGGAGAAACCCTATGAATGTAATGAGTGTGGAAAAGCTTTCTGCCATAAGTCAGCTCTCATTGTACATCAGAGAACCCATACACAAGAAAAGCCCTATAAATGTAACGAATGTGGAAAATCTTTCTGTGTGAAGTCAGGACTTATTTTACATGAGAGAAAGCACACGGGGGAGAAACCTTATGAATGCAGTGAATGTGGGAAATCCTTCAGTCACAAATCATCACTCACAGTACATCACAGGGCTCACACAGGAGAGAAATCTTGTCAATGTAATGAATGTGGAAAAATCTTTTACCGTAAATCAGACCTTGCTAAACATCAGAGATCACATACAGGGGAAAAGCCCTATGAATGTAACACATGCAGAAAAACTTTCTCTCAAAAGTCAAATCTCATTGTACATCAGAGAACACACATAGGAGAAAAACCTTATGAATGAAATGGATATTAGAAATTTCCAGCCACAAGTGAGCCTCCATAATGCCTCAGATTATTCACACTGTGGAGAAAGCCCTGTTGACATCCTGAATGTTCAGTAATTATCCACAAACTCGCCTTATGTTACTCCAAAGTAACAGTAGGGGATAAACCCAAGACTACAACAATTATAGGACAGCTTTTGTTAGGAAGTGATATTCTGTTGAATATTAGATGATTAATACTGGCATAAAACCTCATAGATTTTTTTGAATTTGTGAAAGTTTTTGGCAAAAATACAAACAAGATTATGTTTGAGTTTGCATCGAGGAGAAAATTGTCAATTTAAGAAATCTGAAGTGAAAATTTTGCTTAGAAACACAATATGACAAATTCTGTTTTGAGTTTGATGCCATAATAGTTTTTTGGGCACCTAACAATAATTTTTAGATGTATATTGTGGAACGTAAAACTTTTAAGAACTTAAAAAAAGTAATAATTAAAATAACCTCACAAGAAGTTGTAATGAGTACAGAGAATTCCCATGTGCACTTCACCAAACTTCCTCTAAGGATAATATACAATCATAGTATATGGTCAAGTCCAAGAAATCGATGTTACCTTGCTAGTAGATACAGACTTAACTCAGATTTTACTATGGTTTGTGTGCACCGTGTGTGTTTATGTGTGTGTGATTATATGAAACTTTTACCACTTTTACATTTGAGTAACCATCAACACAATTGGTTTACAGAACTGAAAAGGAATCTGAGATCTGTATTGTATCAGGATTACAAAGGAATCAGAATTTAGCCTTAAGTAGTTAGTTCCCTTGTTGTGTTAATAACCACATCCTTTCTGCAACCTTATCCCTTGCACCCACTTGAGTGTGAAGCTTCTTTTAAAGCATAAATTGAATAATTAGAGCAATAGCATTAACACATCTGTGAATTATCCCTGAAGTTCATAGGACTTACATATGTACAAGTGGTATGTGATATAAATCGTTTCATACGCATAGTGGAAGTAACCTAATTGTGAATAGGAAGTAGGTATCCTAATTTAGTAGTGGTTACATCATCAGGCCAATCCCAGGTGTTTGTCATGTCTTGAAACAGTTTAAAAGGAGACCACAGAGCTAATGTTTATCCATTTAAAAGTTATAAATCAAAATAACAAATTATCTAAAAAAAAATCTATCCTGTACATGTGAAGATCTAGGCCTGCCTCTGTGTTGCTCCCTTTCTCTTCCTACCTGTGGCTCATCCCATGCCATGAAGTGCCTAGGGTACATATGTGAACACTCCCTTCAGCGTAAGTGATACTACAAATTTTCTTTAAGCAGCTGCTCTCCAAGACAGGGCCCTGGAAAGAGGCCCACACATACAGCCCAGTTGCTGCCCAGGGCTCTTGGACTGTCATTTCAAGGCTCATTGTGCCCAGACAGGGATCTCGGCCTTCAGAGACTTTTGAGAATATGAAGAGGAGGGTTGAGGCTGGAGCACAGCCAGAATCAAGCTGGCTTGACAGTGTGAAGATTGTACACTACATTACGTGATCAGATCATACAAATAATCTAAGATTATACAGTCTGGTGATCCTAGATTACACAAGTAATCTAAATTCCACTTTAGGAAACTAGAAAAAGAAGAGCAAATTAAATCCAAAGTAACCTGGAAAAAAAGTAAAAATCAGTGACGTTGAAAAGAGAAAATCAATAAAACCCAAAACTGGTTCTTTGAAAAAGTCAGTAAAATTGATAAACCTCTAGCTAGATTAAGAAAAAACAGAAGACAAATATTGCTAATACCAAAAAGGAAAGAGGCCATTACAGCTGATCCTATGATCACCAAAAGGATTAGAAAGAAATATGGACAACTCTGTCCATAAATTTGATAACTTAGCTAAAATGGACCAATTCCTTGCAAGATGCATTCTCGCAAAGTTCACACAAGGTAGACCTCAGTAGGCATATATATCTATTAAATAAATCTAAGTAGTAATTAATAACCTTCCAAGACCGGGCGCGGTGGCTCACACCTGTAATCCCAGCACTTTGGGAGGCCGAGGCGGGCGGATCACAAGGTCAGGAGTGCAAGGCCAGCCTGGTCAACATGGTGAAACCCTGTCTCTACTAAAAATACAAAAAATTAGCTGGACATGTTGCCACATGTGTGTAGTCCAGGCTACTCAGGAGGCTAAGGCAGAAGAATCGCTTGAACCTGGGAAGTGGAGGTTGTAGTGAGCCAAGATTGTGCCACTGTACTCCAGCCTGGGTGACAGAGTGAGACTGTATCTCAAAAATAATAATAATAATAATAATAATAATAATAATAATAAAACCTTCCAAAACAAAGTGCCAGGATCAAATGGCTTCACTGATGTGCATTTTTTGAGATACTTAAGGTAGAAATGATACCAAGTCTCTACCATCTTTTTCAGAAAATAAAAGCAGAGATAACACTTCCCAACTCATTTTGTGCACCCAGTATTACCCTAATACCAAAACCAGGCAAAGATATTACAAGAACGGAAAACTAGAGATCAGTATTTCCAGTGAACACAGGTGCAGAAATCCTCAAAATATTAGCAAATCAGGAATGCAAGGCTTGTTCAACATTTGATATTCAGTGCAGTCCATTGCATGTGTTAGCAGTTCAAAGATGAAATATGATCATATCAATAGGTACAGGAAAAGCATTTTACAAAATCCAATATCCATTCATGATAAAACCTCCAAACACAGAAGGAATACAGGAGAACTTACTCAATTTGATAAAGAGCTACTACAAAAAACCCTACAGCTAACATCATCCTTGATGTTTCCAACTAGATGCTTTCCCACTAAGATCAGGAACATGGCAAGGAACACCACTGCTTTTCAGCATTGTACTGGAAGTGCTATCTAATGCAGTGATACGAAAAAAAAAAAAAGGAAATAAAATGCACATAGATTTGGAAGGAGGAAATACAGCTGTCTTTGTTCACAAAAAAACATGATTGTCTTTGTAGATAATTCTAAATAAACAGCAAAACCCCTGCTGACATTAATAAGCAATTATAGCGGGTTTGCAGCATATAGTCCTCAGGCAGATGATAAAAAGGAATTAGACATCAAGTCATTAAAAGACATGGAGGAACCCTAAATGCTTATGTTTAAGCGAAAACCAATCTGAAAAGGCTTTCTTTTTATGATTGCAATTATATGATATTCTGGGAGAGGCACAACTATCGAGCCAGTGAAAGGACCAGTGGTTGCTGAGAGTTGAGGGGAAGGGAGGGATGGCAGGTAGAGAGGTGATTTTTAGGGCAGTGAAAGTATTCTCTAGGGTAATGTAATTTGTCAAAACGCAGAGAATGGAAAACAGTGAAGGGAAAACAGTAAACCCTAATGTCAACTCTGGAGTTCAGTTAATAATATTATATCACTATTGGCTCATTAATTGTAACAAATGAACCATAATGATGCAAGATGTTAATAATTGGGGAGCCTGTGGAGGATGGGAGGGGTGAAGGGTTATATGAGAATTCTCTGTACTTTTCGCTCAATTTTTCTGTAACCCTAAAGCTACTCTAAAAAATGAAGTGTATTAAGTAAATAAATAAGTAAATAACCAACCAACCCTGAGGAACATCTTGTTTCTGTACTAAGGTGTTCTTTTGTTAGTCGTGTGTTTCTGACTGAACCTGTAAATCACCATTAAATAACATTTGAATTGCTTTTATACATCCTTAATATATTTTAAAATATGGTAACTGTGATCTGAAATTAAGGACTAGTGTTCTTGGTTCTCTTGACATCTGAAACCAAAAGGGCCTCAAATGACCTAACCTCATTTCCATCCCCACTCTGCTTCCACAGGTGAGGTACCTTAGCAGATAGTCATCCCTGTCAAGGGGGCCAGGCACAGTTCCTACTTATTCCTAAGTAGTAAGATCTGATTCCCTGCCAGCTCTTGGAATTATTCACCAAACCCCTCACATCCTCCCACAGCAAACAGTGGTCACTGTACGCTCTGGATAATACAGCTGCTCACCACAACCCCTCCTTTTCCACTCTGCTCCCAAGTAGAACGCTGTGTGGCTCTGTCCGGCATGTGGTGTCCTTCTCACCTTTCTGAGAGTTGGTGTGACTGATACACTCACCTAGATCTTATCTGTCCAGTATCAGGTGTTCAGTGTTCAATCTTTCTATAGCATCAGAGTGGGGATCCTTCCTTAACCATCAGGGTGAAAAGGAAGCAGTTACAACCATTGGCATAAACAGGATGGCCCATCCAAAGCCAGTGTCATCTAGTCTAATTTTAACTAACTGCTCTTGGCTAACTGACAGGTTCCATAATCTGGCAAAAGGCTTCTTGGACAGAACCACCAGTTGCTGGCAGATTTGCACTTGGCCTGTGCTGTAATGCACTTTTCTTGGGGAAGGTGAGTGTCTCATCTCTTCCCATCCTAATATGCACTGTGTGCAGGACAAGAGTGCTCACCCATTGACTGTATCCCTGCATGACTTGACTTGGGCTCAGCCTGTTTGGCAGGTGGTCTCTGAGGTTCCCACCTGTAAAAGTGGTGACCACACTGCACACGAAGTGCTCAGCACTTTAGCGCCACTTCCCAAAGGTCTGGCTGGAGCTCTCTGATTATCATCACTGGCTGCATGGAACATCCCTACAGACTGTCGTTAGTTATTGAACACCCCTGGGTTGTGCATGCAGATGGCCTATTGTGAGGTTTGTGGAAAGGCAGGAGACAACTGAGGGAGGTGAGTGTGGCACTCCGGTTGCCTAATGAGGCATTCAGGAAGGGTAGTACCTGCACCCCTCTCCTGTGCTGTTCCTTCACTTGCTGCCACCACACATGCTTTCCTGACCTCTAAGAGTGTCAAGATGCACATGCCTGGTGGCCCATGGTCCAGGTGCTGATGAGAAGAGAAAAAGGTACCACCAGTTCTCCCCAGATTACCAGAGGAAGTAACTCTCCTGCTCTCCCAATGCAAAACCCCTCTCCAGTGTGCCTGAGCATGGCCTGGCAGTGCTGCTTGCCAACATGCCACAGGGTGAACCTTGCAATCATGGGGTCTGATGGCCTACACCTGGGCCACAGACTATACGACGTTACCCTGAGCATAGGGAGAGTGACTGTGGCATCCATTGTGCTTTGAGAGTTTGTCCCCTCTCCAAAAGTCATGTTGAGGCCGGGTGCAGTGGCTCAACAAATCCCAGCACTTTGGGAGGCCGAGCACAAATCCCAGCACTTTGGGAGGCCGGGACAGGAGGATCACTTGAGGTCAGGAGTTTAAGACCAGCCTGGTCAACATGGTGAAACCCCATCTCTACTAAAAATACAAAAATTAGCTGGACGTGGTGCGTGCCTGTAATCCCAACTACTCAGGAGGCTGAGTCAG